AAGAAGCAGCACAACAGCCGCAGGACGATGAAAAGAAGTATGACGACAAGAGCTATGACGAGAAGAACAAGCACAGGAATTTCAGTGATTATGAGSGTGAGAAACTGGAAGAGTGACAAGAAGATTAACAGAATTTCGAGTGAAAAGTCTGATTGCATGAACACATTGAGCAATGCTTTACTTTCACGGAGGATGCAAAGTGTACAAGAGATGGCGACAATGACATTCAGGATGATGGACAAGCTTTTCTCTAGCAGCTTTTACATGGTAGTGGAACAGGGATCATCGCCAAAGTCACCAGACATAAACTGCATTAAACAGAAGACAAAGAGCTTGACTTGCTCATCCCGTGCTCCCAGGACAGCAGAAAAGGGTAATTTTAAATAACTGTACAACGCAAGCAGATATTTCAAAAATATGGATTTCGTTCGCTTCCTTCTGGCATCTACCAGTGAGTGTGGGTGGTTTCTACCTTCTCGTGAAACTGATTCATTGCAGTCAAATGTATGGCTTCAGCTTTGCTTGGTTGTGTTGTTCTTATTGACGGCAAGTGGACTATAAAACCTTATGACAGGGTTTATCTGAGTACAGTTCAAAAGGGGACAACAGTCAAATTATGTCACAAACCAGATTTTGAATTGTGCTTTTGCCGTTTGGTTTTGAAACCACCAGCACCCCACCAAACTGGCTGCAGGCGCCTATGTTGATGCTCCCGTTTGGCAACTGACTCTCGTTAATGCGCTTCAATTCTTGCTTATAATTTATAACCGGCCACTGTGGTAAGCCCAGCACTGGTATGTAAAAGACCTTCTGATTATGTATGCTTCGCTCCCTGAGTTATGGTCCTTTTGTATTTCGTTGCTGCCTTTAAAAAAAAAATCAAATGAGCCTCCCTAAAGTAAGTCATCAAGGTGCCCACTAGGGTCTCCCAGCCGTAATCGAGCGAAGCATCAGAGTGAGTACAGTTTGTAATTTCTGGACTTGTCTTTGGAATTGGAGCTGGACTCATGCCCCCCAGAATGCATATGGATGCGCAGAAGGACCTGGTTGAAAAAAAAAAAAAAAAAAAAGAAACTCTTTTATGAGCAAGGAAGTTGACAAAAGCAAGCTGATGGTCTCCACTCTCCTGAGCCCATGAAGCGTAAGTGCCAAAATAGTTGGTTTGCCACCATTTTGTTACGGACTTGCCCCATTCATCTCATGATATCCCATCCTTTGCCATAGTGATATCGGTGAACGGGTAGCCTTGTTTTCTTTCCCCCCTAAACAAAAAGGACCTTATCGGCTGGCTCCGTATCTGTTTGGGGAGCATCAGTCTGGTTTCTTCTCCACAAAACATTTCCATGTTTCTTTCCTCCAAAGGACCTGTGAACAGCACTGACAGCTCCACGTCCTAGGTCACCGATAACGCCAACAAAGGAAGGGGGAGACAATTCAAACAAAAACGCACAAACAAACGAAGTGAAACGAAGCGAAACAATCAACTCGCTGTAACATCTACCATACACACCTCGCTGTCCACATGCGCCAATAATTGTACTCTTGGCACAGTTGCAACTATTTAGTTGTGCATTCGCTTTCGGCACCGTCGATACTAATTAGCGATTTTTTTACTTATTACTCAGTTTTTACTTTAATCAATCATTTATTCATTTAATTATTTATTGTCGAGCTCTATCAATTATTTATTCTTTTACTCATTACCCATTTCGTTAGTTTATCCATTTATTTATACATTTTCATTATTTATCTTCGAGCTCTATCTCTGCCCCTGCGTATCCCGATCCCCAAGATGGGAGGGTAAACACTGGCAATTTTTTTGGGGTCGGCACTCGCACTCCCGTAGAAGAATTGCGGGAGGATGGCGTCACCTTACCTCCAAGCGGCCAGGAGGGCACTGATGCAACAAGATCAAGCACAAGCGGATTCCAGTGCAAATTGAAGCATTCGTCTAGCCAAAGTCCAACGAATTCAACCCACTCTTCTTCCCAAGGAACATAACGAATCGCCACAACATACAAACCCTCGGGTCAAAGGGCATTGGATTTTCTGATGAGCAAGACTGAGATTGAGGCGGAGTTAATCAAAACAATCAAGGATGGAAATGGGAAGGAAGTCGAGGTCGAAGTGTGGGAGTATCCTAAACAAGATCTACAATCTCTGAATGAGGTTTACGAAAAGCACGCTGTGCTCTTCAATTTCACGAATAAAAACAGGGATTTACCGCTCAATGAAAAAAGGAAATGGGTGATGGACAAGCTCAGGGAAATGAAGAACGTACCTGGTACAGAACCGGATGTCTCCTACCACAAAAGAGGTAGGTACACGATCATGATTCAGTGTGTTGATCCTTCCTATGCCCAGTTCCTTATCTCCCTGGGTTCGCTGAAGTGCAAGGGTTCGGTGGTCACAATCCAGAGATGGAAACCACCGAGAGAACCGCAGGCAGAAGCCTCCAGACACAGGTAGACAATGCTTTGGAACCACTTCTGGGTGCAATTCGATAACCAGTCTGAAGGAATGCACAACTTCGTACAGAAAAGGCTGCAGGAGGAATTCCCCAACAATACCATCATAGACTGGCTACCAGCCAACCCGGACTTCATGGCACCTAACCATGACTCGGGAGTGGCATGTCTCGAGGTATCCTTAAGCACGATTCCCAATTTCCCAAACACATGGATTTTCCGGAAGAATGGCTAACACATCACAATCTTCATCTCCACCAAAACGAAAACTTACTGCTTCTGCTGCAGAAAAAAGGGTCACCTTGGCGTGCATTGTCCGCAGATAGGCGAAAAGGGAAGAGAGATAGTGCTCAGACAATCAATGCTGGTCGAATGTGATGTAAAACCCAGGGTATAGAACATTAACGACGCCCAGTTCAGGGGTTGGATTTTCGTTGATAACCTCAAAAATCCCAAGTGGATTTGGGTCTTACACGGTGAACCTAAGTCCAAACCCAACATCCACGCCCCCTACGACAGCAGATGGAGGTCTGTAGGAGCCAAGCGAATGGAAGACAGGAACACCGGCTTCCGTAAGGAACAGGTAATCTGCGAAGCAGAACTGCTTGATGAAAAACAAAGACTGCAATCAGTGAAAGAATTGCATGAAATTGGGCAAAATGCAGAGAAGGCCCAACTAAAAAACCTAAGAGCCAGAACAGCCCAAGAGCCACAAACGGACTCAGCTTGCTCGACGCCCAAATCCACAGTCTCCAAAACCCAGGTAGAGGATAGCCTCTGTATCCATGGATCCCTAAAGCGCAAACCGGATGAATTAGAAAGAGAAATAGAGGCTAGTGTCACGGGGAAAAGAAAGCAACAATCGGTAGGACTGGCAAGTGCCCTACCGACAAATATGGGGATGAATGGGAGTGAAAACTTTAAGCAATCAAACACGCTGCATGGAGACAACAGAGTTCTACCAAATGAAGAAACAACATCAATGAAGGAAGATTCGTCTTCTTGGGACAAGACAGCTGGCCCGGAAGGAGGGGAGGAGGACATGGATTGTTCTCTAACCTCAGGAACGTGTAAGAAAAGGGATAGAGCAACGTCAAATGCAACTCAGTCCTCCACGGAAGAAGGGGGGAAGCAGGCAGATGAGGACGACGAGGAATCTGAGGGTGAGTTGAAGGAGGATGACACGAAGATGGAGGAGGAAGACAAGGAGTCCCTTGAATATGTACAGCAGTACGTCAAGTCACTGGAGAGGGCAAGATCAGTGGAATCCAAAGTACGATTGGCACATCACAAACACCTCCGAAATCTCAGAGCAGTGACGACAATGGCCAACGACATAAACACGGAAAACAAGTTTGAAGTGTTAGAGAAAGAAGGGGAGATCAACGAATTCTATGCAGCACAATACAGTCTGAAAACGAAGGTGGAAAATGAGAAGATGAAGGTGAATCTGAGCAGTTATGGACAACACTTCACATGGCCCAAACCCTACGAAGAGAAAAACGAAGGAAAGAGGGCCAAAAGGCAAAGAAACACAGCAAGCAAGTCAAAGGCAGAAGAACAAACAAATCAGACCACAGAGGACTCAGAAACTGTAGACGAGCTCAATAGACAAGCTGCCATTCTCGAAGCTCAAGTCAATGCCTTACGGGATCAGAACAGGGAATTGGATGACAACTGTCTAAACCTCAAAGACATTGTCACATGGTACAACAAAGAAATAGAGGCAGCGGCCAGACTCGATGCCCTCACCAATCCCAAACAGCGCACAGTAATCCCGTACAGATGGAACACCACATACGAAACCTGGGAAATCGCATACCACGTTGTTAACAGTCACGGACCAGGACTGTACGCAACAACATCTGAGAATGTGGATATTTGATGCAGTGCCAGCAAAAACACACATTCTGAGATCCAAAAAGGAAGCCTGTGAGGAATGGAAAGCTCAGGATGGAGTTTCTCGGTGTGCAGATCTCATACCCATGATTTTACAACTCGAGGAAAAGGCGGAGCTCAACGATGTGCTGGGTACCGTGGCAGTTAGTGGAAGCAATTCCCTATGGTCTTCTAGGGGGGAACACAGCCGCAGAAAGAGCAGCCTTTAGCGGCTCGCTAGTCACCACATATGGCATTTTCCAGATGTCACCTAGGCGGATTGAGGTGAAGTTAATTGGGCCAATTTCAACTGAGAGGGACATCGGCCCTACTGGCTCTTAAATCACACTAGTAGCAGATGTAGGACCATGGGATCCAACAGACTGCGACAAAGGATACCGCTGACTCAGCAAGGGTGGACTTCACCACTTGCCCACTTTCCTCTAGTCTATTGAGAGCAACTTTGGAAGGGCCACTTTCGGACCTTCCGGAAGTTTGTGGACTTGGCCCTTCGACACTGTAGCAGCTACGACCTTGACCTTTTAGGAGTGTAGCAGCTACGAGCTTGACCTTTCAAAAGGGCTACAACTACGACTTCTAGAACTTCCTAAGACCTCTACCCGACAAGTCTGCAAATCGAGCCCCTACCACCTAAGGACCTACGACAGCCTACCAACCATTGCGAATACACAGGTCACGGTTTCAACTCTCGGGGTCGACACAGGTATTGTACACAGGTAAGGCTAGAACTAGGGATCAAGCCCTCGGATCTGCATTCGCTACCGCTAACAAGTGAATACCGTTTCACTCCCGCTGGCCAAAATTCGAGGTCTTGCAAGAATAATTCAGTCCAAGACCGGATTTTTACCTTTCTTTTCTCTCTCGTAGGCTCTAACTACGCCGGGAGCTGTTTCTAGAAGTTCAGTTCTAGTAAGCCAGCGATCGTCCTCAGGTTCCTGATAAGCAAATCGAACCTTATAGTGTTTCTGTGGACGACCTCTACATCCTGTTCTAAATACGTCTTCACCTACAATGCCCTCAATGCCATACCTTGCATCCATGTCCGGAGGGATCATGGATCTTCTTGATGGGAACTGTTGACTTGTGACACACAGCAACAACTTGGACGCATGGAACACATGGTAGGTGTGGAGGTGTGCTGGGATCTCTATCGTATAGGACGGTCCATCCTCTCCGCCCTCTAGAACTGGCCACGGTCCTCTGTATGTTGGTAGTATCTTTTGAGGAATGTTTTTCTCAGGAACAAACTCTTTGGACTTGACCCAGACTAGGTCGCCTACTTGAAACTGTGACGGGCGACGATGTTTGTTGGCCTGTTCTATCATTTGATGATGGGCTTTCCTGAGGTTCTCAACAATGGTAGCTAAGTCTTTCTCGTGTTGTATCGCAAACTCCCTAGTACCGGGCGGTAGCCTATGAATCTGGTCCCGGTTAGGTCCCTCAAACAGTCTACATGCTAAAGAACGTTTGCAACTCATTGGGAGTACGACATGTAGCTAGGTGCACGCTATTATTATATGCACAGGCTACCTTGGGCAACATCTCGTCCCAGTTGACTTGATCTGGTCTAATGTGCATGTGCAAAACTTGTTGCAGGATCTTATTCATTCTGATCGTTAGTCTCTGGGTGACGGCCAGACAACATTAGCAACTTTGACCCGTATACTCTCATTAACTCCTGCCAGTTCTGACTTGTAAACCGGGTGTCCCTATCGCTAACTATGGACAATGGGATCTCGTGATCACGAACCCAAAAGTCAAAAAACTTTTGAGTGACTAACTTTGTACGGGCTTTTGCAGGTAAGGGAACAAAAGCAGCGTATTTACTAAATCTATCCACTATTACCATGACTTGGCTCTTTCCATGCCTACTTTTGACACTAGCATCCATGAAATCGATGGATACTGAATGCCCAGGCTGGTCAGGAATGGGCAAGGGTCGAAGAAGACCTAGAGGGGCATGCGTAGTTGTCTTATTCCTTTGACAAACTTTGCAACCGCGAACGTACTCTATGCATTCGACTTTCATTCCTGACCAAGTATACACATGCATCAGATTGGCTAAAGTCTTTTGCCAACCGAAATGTCCCTCTGTGTCATGGCGTTCCCCCAGGATCAAACTACGGATCTCCTCACTATTAGGAACGCCCAGACGATCCATTCCATCGGTCTTCTCGAATAGTAATCCCTTTGTAGTGCGGTAATGTAGTTCAGTCTCTGGGGCCTCCTTAACTTTCTTGAGGAGGTCACTATAAATAGTGTCATGTGCATACGCTTGTCTTACTTTTTCTTGCAGGTCTCTCCCTATATCCAAGTAGTGAACTATAGCTCCAAAGTAATCTGACCTCCTATTTAGAGCATCCGCAACTACGTTATACTTGCCTTTGACTGGTTTGAGCTCAAAGTCATACTGATCTATCTCAACGGCCCACCTAGTTAGCTTAGGTGTCATCTTGGCCTGCGTTTTCAGCCACCTAAGGGTCTCGTGGTCTGAATAAACTTTGAAGTGTCTCCCAAGCAGATAATGCTTCCACTGCTCTAAGGCCCGTCTGATAGCGTAGAGTTCTCTTTCGTAAGTCGAGGTAGCTACTTTCTCTGAAGGTATCCTCGCTGACATAAACTCTACAGTGTAGCCATTGCCGTCGTCCTGTTGCAACACGGTGCCTATAGCATACTTAGTTGCGTTTGTGGTGATGACAAATGGCAAGGACGGATTTGCCACCTTGAGGACAGGATACTCTATCAACACTCACTTTAACTTCTTAAGAGCGGATGTACAGTCTTTGTCCCACTTCCAGATTGCATCCTTCTTGAGCAACCTGCGAAGGGGAGCGGTGATAGTGGAAAAGTTCCTCATGAACTTCCTAAAATAGTTAGCTAGGCCCAGGAACGACCGCAATTTTGTCATCGTGCGAGATGTCGGCCAATCTCTAGTCGCTGCTATCTTGCTATCCTCAGGCTTAATTCCATCTCCGTCTAGGACGTGGCCCAAGTACAAGACTTGTGTTTTGGCCCACTCACACTTCTTCGCATTGATCTTTAAGTTAGTCTCTCTCAACTTCTCCAAGACCTGCCTCAAATGACCCTGATGCTCTTGGAGGGTCTTACAAAAAACTAATATATCGTCTAGGTAAACTACGACGAATCTATCTAACCAAGGCCTAAACACATCATTCATACAACGCTGGAATATGGCTGGTGCACTGATCACTCCAAAGGGCATCACTATGAACTCATAATGCCCATATCTAGTCCGGAAGGCAGTCTTGTACTGGTCATCAGGATGAACCTCTCTCTGATGATATCCGGACTTCAAATCCATCTCTGAGAAATATCTGCAGCCCTGCACCCGATCCAAAGATTGTCTATCATGGGCAGCGGCTCAGCATTCTTCACTGTAATGGCATTCCTACCCCTATAATCGATACACATACACAACTCTCCCTCCTTTTGGGGGACAAACAAAACGGTTGCTCCGAAAGGAGACAAACTGAGCCTAATCCAACCCTTTTCGAGGAGTTTGTCTAGTTGCTTGTGCAACTCCTCTAACTCCCTTGGCGACATCCTGTAGACTGCACCCTTAGGAGTTCTACTGCCAGGCTTTATTTCAATGCGGTGCTGGATTGGACGCGGTACTACTCCTGTTGGCGGCTCTGCCAAATCTTTAACCTCTTCCAGCAGCTTGGCAATAACAAGGTCTATTGGCTTTTTTTCAGTAGGCTCAATGACAGGCCTTACATAAGCTACGAGAACCTGTTCTTCTAACTGCTCCTTACTTACTAATCGAGTGAACACGGGAGCACTTAGACAGCAATGTGCCAGGGAGTTATCTACTCCTGACACATGATACAGGCGAGGAGTCTTAACTTCGCCTGATGGACTAGGGAGCCTACACTCATGCTCTCTCAAATGGAGTGTGGCCCCTGCTGCCTCTCCCCAATCCATACCTAGGACTATGTCGAAAGGGAGGTTGTCCTCGACGAGGAGAGTCAGGGAATGGGCTACTTTCTCTACTTTGCCATCCTTCTTTAGGTGAAGATATGCCTACACTCCCTCCACGTAATCCTTAACATGCATCGTGCTGTTGTCAGCGAGGATACTAACTATGCAGTTTTCCAACTTCTGGACTTTCAGACCTAGCCTCAACTTCTTTAGCGCTTTGCGGTGAATATAGCTATGGGTAGCCCCTGTGTCCGTAAGGGTTCCTACTCTGCTTCTAAAAACTTCTAAATCTACCAACACAAGTTGTTCTTTACTCTCCTTCTTCATCTTGGCCCAGACCGACATCCTCTCTTTCAACTCTTCTGCTAGACCTATGAGGGAAGTGCCTAGAGAGACTCTAACACAGGCAGTCTCTGGACAGCTAACTAGGCACTGGACTGCAACCTCTCCCATAGGCTCATGAGGTGTGGGATTTTCCTGGTGGTGCGCGCACACTTCCCCACATGGCCTAATGGTAAGGGCAGTTGCAACCCCTACTGGCGGTTGCCTTTTGACCCCTGGGCAGCGAATCGGGCTTTTATATATTTCGGGCAGTATTTAATGATATGGGCAGGGTCACCGCAGTAAATGCACTGCCCCTGCTCCATCCGTTGTTGCCACACTCTCTGATCTAAGCCCAAATCTTCCCAAGGCCGGCCGTGTGGCCAACCTGGGTGCCAACCTCCTTTGAGTTGAGGTGAGCCTCCACCTCTGCGCTGTGGTGATCGACTGTGCCCTGAGTGATTCGACGGGGAACCTTGACCCATACCTCCCTCTTGGCGGTTCCTTTGGCCGCCAACCCCCTGTGCGCCCGGACCTCGACCACCC